TATGTCATCGAGATGGTCATGCACCGGCACCGTACCAACGACGGTAGCTGGACACATCATTATCAACAGCACAATGCCAACAGCGGCTGGAGAAACAGCGCCCGTTAGCAGAAGCCCCGTCATCATAACAAATCCGCACATAAATCCGGCAACCACGGCAACCGGGTATTATACTTTTTACAGACGTCAGCCAGCTTGGCCACTGCACATGCAGCTGGCTGTGCACGGAAGCACTGCACGACTTACGTAGTTATGTAACGGAGGCGGGAGTGGCTACAGAAAATCACTACATATGTGTAGCGGTTAGTTCACAGCAGATACCCTAGACACAGGCATGGTTTTTTTAAACAGAGAACGTGATACTCGTCGTCGCGCCCCTTTCCTGGGGCGCCAGCGACTGCATAGGCCGTATTCACGCTCCGGGTCATGGCGCAACCGGGATTCGAACCCGCGCCCCCACGTGGAAGTCCGACACACTACCCACTTGGCCTCCACGACCCCGCAAGTGATGGTATCTACAAATATGCAAGTCGGTCCTGTCTTCCACAGATAGCAAATTTTCATTTCTAAGCCAATCCGACAGGGCGCAATATGACGAAAATACGTGACGCAGTGCAATACAGGCAATATGCTTACGCAGCATCCAACATACGCTGACATAAACTGGATTTGCCAAAAAAGCTGCTGGAAATAATATTTCGCCCGTAAGAAATTCTTCCACGTTGCCCAGGGCACATGATGACGCACTGAGGCCATCCATGTTCGGTCATCGCTCGTTATCTCAGAGTAATCGAAAACACTAGCGTGTGCACGCAGCTAAAACCCACATCGCCAGTACAACGCGTCAGGTTGGATGTACCATCCGCGGCAGCTCTTACCGTAGCACGCGTAGCCCCAGCACGACACCCAGCCTCACGTACAATAAGGCTCTGCCGGCGTCGCCAGCTGACCAGCAAAATGACAGCCTGAGAGACTCGACATAGGCAAACCAGCGCGGGGGAAAAAATGAGCCAACGTGCTCTAAAAAAAAACAAACAAAAAACGCCGAGGTGACTCGCCCGAGACGATCATACCTGAAACATTCTCAGTACGAAATATACTCTCACCTGCTACCTTTAAGCTCACGAGTTGCCCGGTTTATGCATAGACAGGGCCGTAAAAGTGATCGCGTCTCTTCGTGTTACGATTTGAATAGCTCGATTCATACATTCATACAACCATACTGGGATGACCCGCGGCCAGTGGCAGCGAATTCGCCGGAGGCCGGGTGACGTCAGAGGGCAGGACGGGCCGTATCGGGCACGGCGGTACGTTAAGCTCTCTTCACAAAGTCCTGTTGTTGACCCAGAATTTCAAGATCGGGTAGTGGGATTGCGACCAAAGCAACAAGCACTGCCTGGCACGGGCGCTGCTCCAAGAGATAAATGCAATAAAAACGCTCGCAAAGTACTGAAGCGAAATGAATTCACTGAAGGCCAGGTGACGTCAGAGAGTGGGACGAGCCTTACCGAGCACTGCGGTAAGTTGAGCTCTCCCCACACAATCCTGCCGTTGACCCCGAATTTCACGACCGGGTGGTGGGATAAGAGCCAAAACAACAAGCACCGTCTGGCATGGGCGCTGGCCCCAGATATAAATCCGATGAAAACGTTGAGGGCAAACTAAAAAAGAAGTTGTAACATTCCCGTCAACTGAGCATCAAACCCATTGGCATCTAAGCGTCTCGAGTACATCGCAGCGTGAAGGATGTGGTAGCCATGGATCAAATACCAGGCCGTAACATAAAGCAACAACCCCGCGTTACAAACGGCTGACTGGTGGACGTTTCCCCAGCCACGCGTTCAGCAGCACGCCCAGTTCGCCACGCGGCCGGCGGCTGACCGACTCACCAGCAGGACCTCGCCGAGGCCGGCGGCACCCGTATCCACCGTTGGCGCGGAGTCGCGGTACATGAACATGGCCACGCCCACCACGATCAGCAGCACGAACAGGTACTTGCGCAGCGGGTACTGCTTGGCGCCCAGCAGCACGCCCAGCACCATCACCGGAATCGGCTTGCACGATTTGCCCACCACCTGTGACGGCGACAGCGGCGCTGTCAGAGCCGCTCTGCCATCCAGCAGCGCCACACGAGGATGAGTCGCGTCAAGGCGTCAAACCGACTGACCCCACGCGAAATCATCCGCTGCCCATGTCTGGAAAGAAGCGGCATCTTTGCTCACAGATTTTTATGGAATGATTGAGAGGTGGTGCAGTGCAGGGCATTAGTATTACGAATGGAATAGTCCTCCGCCCATCGCCCCCACCTGGTGTGAGAGCAAGTACGCAACGTTTCGGCCGGCTAATCACCCGGCCGGCGTCGCGTCATCCATCGTTGTATACATAATAACACATCAGACGAGGACGACAGCCCAAACAACTATTTCATCCGCTTTGTTCATGTGTCGTTTTTTGTGCCAGATATTCACTTATTACAAAGCGACATTTCCGCAGAGTTTGACCTCGGCATGGACCCTACCACGATGTCCCTACCGCGCGCTGTCAATGTGGCAAAGCCTGTGACGCGAGCGTCTGGGCGCCGTCCGCCCTCGCCCCACTCTCGCTCAGCAAAGGCGGCCCTATTTCCGCCGTTCTACACCTGCAATTCTGTCCTCATGCTACACAAAATAAACCCCGGAAACTTTTCAAGGGACTTGTCTCTTCACAAGGCTTGACTGTGTGTGCTCCTGGGAAATTGCACCGTATCCGCCTGTCCCTATCACAAGCCAAAGCCACGGCACGTGGCCCACACATGAAGTCTTACAATCTTATCGTGAAGGCGTGCACTTCCGCCAAAGACACGTCACCATGACTCGCTGCGCGGTGAAAGCCAGTGAACGAAGTGAATGCAAAAGCCAGGACCGGGGGTCGAGAGCGCGATAACGTGGTGCGGCGAAGCTGGCACTAGCGTAGCCGACAGCGAAACACCGCCCGGTCCGTGAGCGTGCATCGGAGATGAGACACTGGTGTCTTCTGGCATGATACTTAAAAGGAACCAGTCAGTTTTGTGATGCCAGCTGAGAGTGATGAGCGATATGCAGTACAGTGTATAGCTTAAGAGCTGGTGATTAGCGTCCGTTCTGCTGCTGCCAACGCCAGCACAGATGGCTGGATAACAGCCATGCTGCTGTATGGCTCCCACAGTCATCAAACTACAAATCTGGCATGGTGAAGATCCAGGCTCCATTTGCTTCCATACACAATCCAACAGCAACACATAAGCTGCACCAGAAGCTGGCATCAAGCAATGACTTGATGCATGTTATCACTCATCAAACTGGATGCACATACCTGGGTGGGGTAGTTGACCCACTGGAGTGCCTTGTTGCTGAACACCATGGCCATGAGGTACGTGAGAGAGGCAGCACCATAGTAGTACGGACTTGTGTTATCCTCTGACGTTCGTAAGACAAATCGGTTCACTGTGTGGTAGCATGACCAAATGTCAGCACCACAAATGGGACAATACAGATACAGATCAGCAACACCACCAGTAAATAACACACAACGCCCAAGTTTCTGACCCCTATCAATACCCTTACACTGACACTGGCATCAGCACATGTGATAAGCTCATGACATACATCAAAACAAGTAAGTTATAAATGTGCACAAGTGGTGTTGTAACCATACTATTTTGTCCAAAACCATCTATGAAGTTTACACTGGTGTTCAGGACTACCTGCTTTATATCAAATGGCTACAGTAACTGATATGAGAATGATCCCTGATGCTGGCACTATGTTATCAGAGATATCACCAGAACTGTGTTTAAATCATATTAATATGGCAGCATTCATCTATATGCAATAGCACCATGCCTGTATCTCATACAAAACATCATACCCACAGCCAGTTTCAAACACTTACAGGAAACAAACCCAGGAAACTTACAAAGTGCAGCATAGATGGTGTTCACCAAGCACTGAAAGCCGACGAGGGCAAGAACATAGGTGAATTTCTCTTGAATGTCACCATACTGGTAAGTTCCTCTGGTTCTGTGGCACAAGAAAATGCACAAATATGTTAATGGCCAAGCAGAGCATCTTTGCACATCACAAGGAGCATATAGTGGAAATGGTAATCTAACAAAACAATTAGAAATAAAGTTATTATAACAACTGATACTCAAATACCAATCACAAGAGATTGAGTAGATAGTTTATAAAAAGTGATAAAAATATAGCTTTGCCCCATGCTGAAAACTAGAAGCATTTGAATTGTTAAAGCCAAAAGGCCCATCATACAGGAAATGCAAACAAGCAAATACACACACAGGACAAAACTATCCACATGATCTGTGTACTTCAGCAAGGCTCCAAGGACTTGTAACTGAAAGTGGGAATAAGCTATAATATAACTGATAGCAAATACCATTGTGATAAAACTGTGACAACTGCATGGTACAACTGCAACAAACTGTGACAACAGCTCATTGTAGGTACTGCCTGGCCAATCATACACACTATAACTTCTTCAAATCCAGAATTTGATCATGGGCTTAGCATGCTAGCATCCCAATGCTCATCTTACTCCACCACCCAGCAGGCATACCAACCACAATACAGTATGAGAGAAATAAAAGAGAATTAATTTCTCAGGAAAAAAGTCTAGACAGATCTGTGAAAAGAAGTGCAGTCAGAATATTTATCACCTAAATTGATGGCGGTCAAAGCCAAAAATTTGTGTTGCACACAAAATGAACATTTTGAGGAAACCACCCAATTTCATACCAAGTCGCTGCTACAGCTCCCAATATCTAGCATGTGCATGTTGGCTTGGGAGGCATGGTGACATATATATATATATATATATATATATATATATATATATATATATATATATATGTATATATATATATATATATATATATATATCCATAGACTACACATGCATCATTGTACAATGCCATACATACACATGGCCAGCCATATGATGTGGGCTGGCATAACAATACTCACATGCGCTCCTGAACAATTCCAAAATAGAAGTAGCACACAAATATTCCACCAGCACAAACACAAAGCTTCAGTTTCTTATTCATCTTGACTGCTGATGGTATGCACTCTCACTGTCAGTTCATCTGTGCGCTTGTGAAACGCGGGCGAAAAACAACTGGCATTACCATATGCTTAGCAATCGCCGTGAAAGAGGAAGCACCGTTTCCATCGGTGTGCGACTGCGCAGCCCATCCAATTGCTTTCCAAGCAGCTAACAGACGCCCACTGGGCTCTCGTTCACTATACGAGATTGTTTTATACCGTTGTACTCAATGCCCTTGCATTACCCCATCCCTCACTGGTTGTCTTTGAAGGAATGATCGTCTTGGGCCCGACAATGCCAATTGCGTTGGAAATGCCTGTCGTGCGTCATATATGTCTACTAAAGTTGAAGACAGGTCGGCTTCCAATTGGCTGAGCAGTTCTCACGAACTTTTAAGTTAACGGGAATGTTCCACATTTAAAGATAGTGAAGTAAGCATCAAATATGTGAAATAAGCTAACAACTTTTTTATAAGAAAGAGGCCAGGGCAGGCGAGGGGCTCAGGAGTGCAGCCAGGACCGACAGTGTTGGCGGTGATTGATGGGGAGCATGTTTGGGGGGGGGGGGGGGCATGTGGGGAGCACGTGTTACGAGTGAGTCCCAGTCCTACTGACAGTGCCTATGCACTGGCGAACTTGTCCGTCCATTTGGGACGTCCGTAAATCTAGCAACATATTAATGTCAGGCAATCAGTTGGATATTGCGGGGTGTCGCGATCGCCTCCAAATTTGGTGCGCAATGCCTTTTCGGCATGTTATTTCGACAGTCATGGGTCGTGAGATGGCATTTTACGTAACTTCCGAGTTACAAGACGCGGAACACGCCAGTTTGATACTGCGGGACGTGTCGATTGCCTCCGAATTTGGTGCGCAAGACGTTCTCAGCGCGCTGATTCTCACAATCATCACTTGTGGGATGGAATTTTACCTAGTTAATTTTATAATTTTATAATTTTTGAAAATAATTTGACTTGTAAATGTCCTCGTTACAAGACGCGAAGCATGCCAATTTGATGTTGCGGGGCGTCTGAGCTGCCCCCAATTTGGAGTGCATGGACTCGCCTTAGTTGCAAGATGCTGCCGGCCTTCGGAGAGCGACGGTCGTTAGCGTGGGTGGACGTCGACGTCGAGGTGGCTCGGCGGGACAAGGAGTGCGGTTGTCCAGTTGTGAGCATTGCTGGGTGAGTTTGGAGGCAATCAAGGCACCCCGCAGTATCAAACTGGCATATTACGCGTCTTGAAACTCGCAAGTTACGTAAAACCCCACCCCACAGCGTATAATTCGCGAAATCAGTGTGTTGTCAAATCAGTGCCCCTGCACACCAAATTTGGAGGCAATCGAGACGCCCCCCCCCCCCCCCCCCCATTATCAAACCGGCGATGTTGCGCGCCTTGTAACACGGAAGCTCCGCAAAATTCCACCCGACTACTTACGATTTTCGAAACCAGTGTGTTGAGAAGCACCCGTACACGATATTTAGAGGCAAGCATGATGCCCCGCAATATCCAACTGACAGTCGGATATCAATCCGCTGTGAGATTGACGGACGTGCTGTTGGGAAGACGAGGGGTGATATTGCAGCATAGCCTAACTAACCCACACATTTAATTTCGATTTAGTTCACTCACTTTTTGTGCAGCGTCCAGCAGGTTTTATTCAACTGAAGTACGCATGATAAAATGATAATTATGGCTAGATGTGGTCTACATAGCCTTAGCATAACCTCAATTATCATCTGGCACATATGACGAAAGGCTTTGGGCAAAACCCAATACAGCGATGGGAACGCCCCATCTGAGATGCTTTGCTGTATTATGAATCATGTTCTAACATGTTTTGGCTGATGTATAAAGATCACGCGAGGATGTTTCAAACCGTATACCACAACCTATGCCTCATTATACTATATGAGGTGTGAATTCGTAGCTCTTCACCTGCAGGACTAAGAAAAAAACTTACTTAAAACGGAGAAAAGCAAATGTCATTAGTACCAGCTGCGTGTACCTTTCCTGATGTATTAACACATCAGAAAAGCAATGCTTCATTTCCGCCGGTCCCCACACACGCCGCAGACATTGGCCCTCCGGTTGGCCTACCCCGCGCTCGCCGACGATTTCCTGTGCACTTGCACGCCGGCCTTCTCTGAGCTCACCACCGGCCCTCTCAGAGTTCGCTGGTGGCCTCATCTGGGCTCGCCGCCAACCTCTAGGAGTACTGCCTCCTCTGCGCTTGCTGCCGGCCTCCTCCGCGCTCGACGCCGACCTTCGCACGTGCTGCCGACCTTCGCATTCGCGTTGACATCCAGCGTACTCGTGCATAAATTGCGATCATGATCTTTACGCCCACAGTCAGCTTCCTTCTTGCTCGCCGCCTACCTCCTCGCGCCTCGCCTCCCCCGCGCTCGCCGTCGGCCGTACCGCGCTCGTCACCGACATCCGCTCTCACCAGTGGCCTCCTGCGAGCTCGTCACCAGCCTCTTCCACGCTCGCAGCCGGCTTTCTCAGAGCTCGCCAGTTACCTCCGCACGGGAAGCTGACCTCATTCGTGCTCGTCACCAGCCTCTGCAACGCAAGCCGCTGGCCTCCTTCACTCTCGCCGCCGGGCTTTTCCGCGCTCGCAGCCCGCCCCCCCCCCCCCCCCCCTCCTCCCTCCCGAGCTCGCCGCCACTCCTTGCCAAAAGGTGGTTGCTTCCACCACATTGGGTAATTCCGAAACTTGTCATGACTATTTTTTTCTCAATGCTCTCCGGAGACTTCCATTACCGGCTACCAATATGAAAGTCAAATCCGAAGGCCCAGACAACCTTGGACAAATAGCATGACGTGTGATCAACTCAGCAGGCCCATGTATTGCACCCGACAGCGCACAAACAGATGCACACAATCGGCATGCGGACATGCGCAATCGAGGCCTCTGCAGAATGCTAATGTATGCAAATGCTCTTGGTGTCCCACTTGAATTGTCTCGGTATCGCATCACCATGGCCCCAGACAACTAAATCCCCTTTCACGAGTCTCTAAGTTATCCGCTCGGACATGCGATGTACCACACGATGTAGGGTAGAATTATTCAATTCAAGCATAGTCTCGATCGACAGTGCGTGGCCACTCGCACACGGAAATGAATGGGAGCACTAGAGCAGTTGCATGCTATTGTCCCAGTCGAATCGTTTTCGGCCTGTCTAGTTACGCCCCTCAGCTGCCGAGTGCATGCGCCACGGCTGAATATCCGCCGCGCGGAGGTCTGCCACACGAAGTCGTTGATACGCCGGCAAGGAGCGCAACAATTGGCACCTGCAGTGACGGACGCTCTGGGCGATTGCGGCCAAATTATTGCGATTTGGCAAATGCTTTTGGGTGAATATTGGTCACCGTTAGGCAGTCCTTGCTCCTGTGGCATTTCAGGAAAGACGGACTGACTCCAGGCACCTCCGACCCGGATAACCCCCGAGGCGGCCAGGGGTAGCGTTTGAAGAAGCCCAAAGAGGGGCAAAGGGCCCACGGGCGCTGAGAGTCAAGGGCCTTATTGGAGGCTGAGGGACTCGAAGGTTAGCCGGAGGCTGTATTTAGGAGACTGTCCCGCAGGGACAGACCCTTAAATGTCAGCCAAAGGGCTCTTTGCGCGGGTCGGGGACCCTGAGTCAATGAGGGCCTCCATGGCATCCAGGCACCCCCACTACCACACAATTGCCTCCGTGTCGGTATGGGCTTGAGGGCTTGTTCCCCAATAGGGATAAGCCCGCGGTCAGCGAAATACATAGGCTGGAGCCCCTGCTGTCTGTCAGGGGGTCACAGTGCCTAACTAGGGGCCCGTGGGGGAAAGGGGGCACGAGTCGGTCAGCGGCAGTTTTCTGAGAACCTCGAAGAGGGGCTTTGATGGTCCCCCGGGACGGACGTTCAGGGTTTGAATAGAGGCTCGGACTAACTGTAGGGATGGGGTCCCGGCCACAGGAACGTACCCTTAAATGCCAATCAGGAGGCCCTTTGTGCCGACCGGGTCCCCTGAGCCGAAAAGGGACTCTATGTTGGTCAGGCACCATCAGTGCCGCACAGTTGACTCCGTGTCGGCATAGGCCTGAGCGTTCATTTCCCAAGCGGGGACAACGCATGAGCCAGCGATTTACATTGGTCAGGGCTTCTGTGCCCGTCAGGGCACACAGTGATCCTATGGTCCTATGTTGACAAGGGCCCAGGTCGTCCAGTCGCTGTGTTCAGGCGCATTAGATCATATCAACAGCCCGTACCCGTGTGCGTTCCGTCCCTTGCAAGGCATACGTCAGCTGCCCCGACCGGCTCGTGTGGGGCGGTGTCCTCGCGGGCGCCAGGCGGCCGCCGCTGGAACTATTCTTTTGGGGCGGGTACCAGGTGTACGGGGCGGCGCTGCTGTCGGTGGTGGATTGGGACGGTAGACGGAGGTGCTAAGATAGTGCCTGCGTAGACTTTACATCAATCGTTGTCATGTTGCATGCAGTTGTTCTATGGTTGATAAAGGTAACGATGATAATTCGTTCAAGCTTTACTGGGTGGGGTCAGCTCCAGCATGGCAGCAGTGTCTTGCTGTTCAGTCGCGTGTGTAAGATGCAGGATTACGGTATTCAAGCCAGCCCACATTTTCCATAAAACAAGCCCAATTTTTTCGAGCCAAGCTATCGTTTTCTTCTCATATAGGCACCATATTTTCGTGACTGGCCTTCACACAGTGTCCATCATGCAGACAACCTCACATTTTTTTAGAGTGGATATAGTGACATTCACTATCAGTGACGTGAGAGTTGCTGAGATAGATCCTAAAAAATACACTCCCCACCCCCAAATGCTCTTCTCACCTCATCAATGCACATAAGCGAAGAGGAAAGAGTAACCCAAGTGAAATCAGGACAATGATCTTAACCATTGGTATGCTAGTTAGTCGGTACCTAAACATATCACTATTAGCATCAATTCAATTTTTTATCCAATAACGTTCTAGAGGCACCTAATTTTTTGTTATTCCAGCTCTTCTATATGTTAAGATGGTCTGTAAATGTTTGACAAATTGTTTTCCAATGATAAATATGCGGCAGCATATTTATAAAAGTACAGGGTGGCCCATACACAAATAAACACATGTTTTCCACAATAATGACAAGTGCACTTATCCCCTAATCATGGCTGTGGTGATTATCCAACACAATCAGCGACAGCGGTAGTCATCAGTGATCCCTTACTAAGATTTACTAGGGTGTTTTTCTTCAGTATCTTTCACCCCATTCTCAGCTTTCCACGGAAAGACAGCTCA